TGACATGCTTTATAACATGAAGGTGACATAACGGATACAAGGAAACACGTGTTGTATGCAAACAATATTACGTATGAAATCCGCCTTATTGGTTCGCGTACCATATACTTACGTTGATGGGATAACGTACTTGACGGGTTGATCTTCTTGCAACGTACTGTTAAGGGAAGATGGATGCAATGATTTTTGGGCAGTGAGCACGACTTTTGCTTTGTAACACTACATGTGACAGTGATGTGGTGACGCAGCCATAGATGAGAAGCTTATGTGAACGGATTGCAGTTTTACAATTACCCTTCCAGATGTCCCTATCCTTAGACTACATTCGTAACACCTACATGGTTGACGTTACATTATCGTGGTGGCCACTTTCGGAATGTCAGCTGTCCCCATGATGTCACTCCCTAGGTACGGTGACGACGCCTGAACACGACACTGCATATGTGGCTTAACGTCTGCGATATATAACGCGAGGAATAAATACGCCTTAATGTTGCTTACCGCCCTCATAAGACGATTTAACTCATGTATCGCTATATGGACGGCATGGAGGCATGGTGTCCAAGGATGAGAATTGTTCCCTGCGATGACATCTGCATCGCGGGCTTCATCAGTACACCGCAGTGATATACATCGCAAAGGAGACTGATCTGCGATTGCGTAACCACTAATACGCAATGTGTCAGTTATGGAATTATTCCGCACGGAAACCTACGGAGAATTATGATAAAAGCGGACAGAACCCCGCTGCAAATATGAAGATGACTTCAAAGTTTTCTATATCCTAAGAAAAAAACATTGATAAATGATTCCAAGAGCCCCATGACACACATTCGGAAAAAAGTGTAAGCCACCCTGCGTCTTCCTGAAAGCAGTGCGAAATACATGTGCATTCATCACAGCGACTAACATACCTTGATGAAAAAAACCAAGGAAGCACTTTCAAATTCCCAAACGCCCTCTTTACAGTACCCTCGTTCAGAAAGCATTACCCACGCAACTGCAACTGATGAGTATGACACCCTCCGCACATTTTGATCCACGGGAATCAGTGATTGCTGCTAGGTGCGAATGTATCCACGCATTCCGAAAAGCACATGCACTAAAACTAACAAATGCAATTGCGTCCACTGCAACTTATCACCATTAATTCAAGTAACAGCAATATACGGCGCCCAGCGGAGGACGGCAGTGTCCTCGTAATGAAAACAGGACATGCAACATTAATACCAGGTATCCTGTTACATTTTATCATCCCCAAGAAGTCAATGACACATCGCAGTGCATAACAACACAACTCTTCACAGGAGTTGACAGTAACCTACTGCATGTCCCACATGCGTACATCAATGCCACTGCACCCCGTACCACCACGTCACTAGGTGCTGATATGGAAGTTTCTGCGCTATTGAATTCGCCGATATGCCTCTTATCTTACCAACTCTTTAGCTAGTATTTATCTAACAAGTAGTTAGCGGTGAACCTGTGGGCTCACAATAATGTATGCGGCCAGACACCGCAGTGCATATACCCGGATTGTCGTCCGGTACTGAGTGGGACTTGTGTATTACCACCGAAGGGAATTTAGAGACTCATTTTAGATGCACCATGACATCTTGATGCCACATGGACATATGATGTCTCAAGAAATCAAAAATATTCCACACCTCGCGGGGTACCTGCTAAACGGCTATTTACCCACAAACGTGAAACCCTGAGAAACGGTTACTAACTACTTCACAAGGCATCAGCAGTGCAGAGACCTGATGTGCATTCACCATAACGTGGTGCTGGCAGGGGAAGCAATGGGCTGCGCATATAAATGTGTCTGCGAAGCGTACATCATCACAAAAATGGTGTGGTACACGTGAGTAGCTATGAAGTATGCATCACATATGGGAAGCAAAACTTAGGGAAGTGGGATTTGGCATGCGCATGCATTGACGCCGTAGGCCTCACCCACCGTGGGACATGAAACCCTCTAAGAAGTCCTTACCAGAGAGCCTGTTTGCACACACCATTGTACGCCGTTGTCAGCGTCTCAGCGGACTTGATCCGGAAATAGCTGCAAAACCTCACCTTCCAAGTACGCGTTGACGGAGCTATTTCCACCCGCATACTTGCCACAAGTGCAGTTCTACATGTGCCTGTTCTCTGACCGCACCTCTTCCTAGCCTTCATGGACGACGTCACACCGCAAGTGGAGTCTACGCTACTACTAAACGCGGCTGACGCGAACCTGTGGCGCACAATTAACCTTCTGCACGATGACCCCGCACCTCAAACATACCTCGACCGTCAACATCAGTGGTACATAGAAAAAATTCCCTTTAACGCTTCAAAAAGTCCCTTCTTTTCTACCCGCCCTTCGGTTTTTTATCCTTTATTTATTACCTGGGGGCGTCTATCCTACATATCTTTTCAACCGAAATAGACTTCGATATCATTACCAAGGGTACTCTTTCCGTATCGGCTTCCGGCCGGAAAGAAGCTACTGCTGCCAACCGCATGGTGGGATTGCTGAAACCGGCCTTCGGTCACATTGACCCCAGGAATTTCCGCCTCATGTGAAGCTGAGGCTTTCAGTCACATTACATACAACGTTGCAAAGTACGTGAAAAAGAATAAAGTTCCGACGATTACGGACCCATCCACTGCTTGTATGTTCCCCGCACTGCAACCTATGTAGGGGAGACGCCAGGGCATAGAGCAGGGGTGGCCCTGAAAAGGGCCGTTGTGTCGTTCATGAAGACAAGGAGGCAAACAAAGGACAAGCGACACCAGATGGAGGTGTTACGGCGACTTTTTATCCCGCTGCGGCAAACGGTTGGAACGGAGAGGCAACGCTGCGAAACAACTTGCCTCATTATTCAAACGGCTTACCTGTGAGGACCAATGAATGAAGCTTCACATGCAGAAGGCAATGCGTCGGAGTTGGATCAGTGGCGTTGCGAACTCAAAAAACACACAGCATCAATTCGCAACATCATTTGTTACCATTCCTATGGTATCCTAATTACCACACAGTCACTTTCCCCACACACCACTGAGCCATTTCCAGGTATTGCACATTCATCCTCCTTGGCAACGTCGCTAGGTAACCTCGTTGCTATGTACCATTTGTACCACGGAACGTCCTGAAGCAACAAAAGTTTTTGTTACGGTAATCAGACGGTCTGAAGATAACACGCACAATCCGCAATTTGTTGCTTTTGACCTCGAACTATTAGTCCGGCTGAAACCAATGCTGAAGAAATATTTTTGTATAACTACTCTCTCCTATGAAAATAACACGAAGCTTCTGTTTATCAATTTCCGCTTAGTGCCCAAGAATGCGGATTTTTTAGTCTAGTGATAACAATGCTTTCTTCCCTATCGTTTAACCACTTAAAATATTTTACAGTTTTGATGATGTCATTTTGCTTCATTCGCCGTTAGTATTGTAAATTGCAGAAAATGCACCCATTGGGGTATATAAAACGTATCTCGACTTGATTTTACTTGACAAGTTAAAAAATATACTCTCTTACTAGCATGATGTATTCCACTTTAGCCTTCGATACAAAAATAACTAAAAGATTCGTGTTCAGCTATGAATGCAAGCCAGCCGTCATCAGTTAACAAACAAGTGCTCCGTATTCATGATGCATTCGTTCGTACTCCTAGGATGTGTAGAAAATAGGAAGGCTATCAGGTAGATCAATCGCTGGATGTCCGTTATCATTCTACTTGCGTCGATGAGAGGACTCAATGATGGGTGTCTACAATGATGACGGCTGAGTTTACTACTGTTGTTTTCACAACTTTGTACTGTGCTTTACTCCCAATAAAGTTAAAGCTCGGGTGCAGGTGTTTCTTGATGTTAATCTGTCGCTATCGTACTTTATCTCCTACAGTCAACCGTAATTAAAATACAAGTGTGGCCATAACGATTGAGTAATACGGAACCTCATCGATCACAGCAAGTATGACATCCGTCCTTAAGTAATGTTGTTAAACATTTTGGAGAAACAACTGCTTAACTAATTCGGATAGTTGGAACTCCAGTTGTCTTTCCTCATGGACCGCTTGTGTATATGACATCTTCAAGTAGTTTCAGTACTGTATTTTTAAAATGACCCAACAAGTTCACCGAGACTTTCGAGCAGATGTGAGTATCACGCTTTTCGTTTGCAGTATATACTTTCAGACGTTATACATATTTTAAGTTTATTGGATGAGACAAAGCGATGATGCCTTAACTAAAAACATTTACGGAAATGATCAAGGTAGATTTAAGCTTTATCATCCAACCAGTGTTATGATTTTCAAACCAAATTGTTTCTGAAGTTTAATTACACCTCGTTTGCAAGTTCCAATTCTCTCCTTGTCTCCTGATTTAACTCAGACGCTATTCGCCAACTGTATGTGACGCAATAGAAGTATCCAATATACTTTACCTTAGTAAGTGGAAGGAAGTGCGGACACGATGAAAAAATTATGAAAATATGCATCATTTTGCACTTATTAGCTTCGTAAGTATTCCTCTTCACTTTTGTTGGGCGGAACCTGGGATACTAGTCGGTAAGCAATGACACGTAAGACGTGTCAAATACGACAGTATAGAAGTCGGAGGCAACTGAACCCAACGTATATTGTGCAGGCTACAAGAATAGGAAGCGAATCAGACAGAGCGAGAAACGTGCAGCAATGAACTCACCAAAACGGTTTGTGTCAACGGATGTGCAGTCAGTTAAACAAATGGACGTTTCGAAGGTTAAAACAACCATAAAATCCAATGTTACAAGATACTGAAAGAGCATGTTTTCTGTTGCACTACAAGGGCCTCCCCATAGAAGGCTGAAGGATGGAAGCCTTCGATGGAGCTGTTAGTGGGGGGAACGGAAGTTGAGGGTGGGTGCGAATGTTTGCAGGGGCTTGAGAAGGGCTTCCAAAGTGGGGTGTAGCAGATTTCGCTGGGTCCAGGCTTTTGTTAGTTTTATTTATGACGATCGTGTGGACCAGAGTGCATCATCGGTGGGCCGTCGGGGCGGGCTGGTCGGACTGCAAAAATAACTGGCTAGTCCAGAAAAAAGGTCGAGAGGACCTTCCCATTGCTGCAGACCCGACGGTGCGCTTGGGAGGTGTCACTCCCCCCACCGCACTTTAGTCCACGGTCCTCGTCCCACGAAGAAATCCAGGCGTGCTCGTCCCACGAAGGAATGCGGGGCGTCCTCGTCGGCAATGCCTAGGCGGCGTTTAGGGACCAATCCTTCGCGGGTGTCTGCGATCGAGGGCGGGGAATGGGGTGAGGATGGGGGCTGTGGGACGGCTGGCGAGTCACTCCAGGGTTGCGTTGAGCCGGTTGGCGAGTCACTCGAGGGTTGCCTGGGCAGTTCCGGCGGTTGAGTTTCTGGAAGATAGAACTCAGAGGGGGTTGGCAAGGGTCTGGGAAGTGGCTTGACGCCGGAGAGGGAACATGGCATGTATGATAAAAGCAAATACGCTTTTTAGGTTTTTCAAAATGTTTTGGGTTTTTTTGTCGATTTTGCAAAACGTTTGTGGGTGAGACGCAGGATAACCATTAAAGACGAAAAAGGCGTGTTAATGGAAATAGCAAACGCTTACAAAATCGGAAAAACGGACCGGACGTTTGACCTGTCTACCGCGTCGGTCGGTTGCCTGGGGTTGCGGCGGGATAGGTTGCGGGTCAAGGGGTACGGAGGGATCCGGGTTATCCAGTGCTCGGGAAGTCACCACAGGTGCGGGTGCTTGTAGGAGAGCATCAGGATGGGCTGCAAGTGGCTCGTCAAAGAAAGCCACTTTGAGTCGGTCGATGGACACCGTTGTTCGATGACCATTCTGGTCTATAGTAAAATGTTTCGGAGTCCGTTGTAGAACTCTGAAAGGGCCAGTGTAGGGAGGCTGGAGAGGGCGCCGCACTGCGTCGGTGCGGAGGAAGACGTGAGTGCAGGTAGAGAGTCCGCTGTGCATTTGCACATCTCTAGTCTGCTCACGGGGCGGGGTCGGGCGTAGTGAACGCATGCGCTGGCATTGAAGGCAGGCGCGAGCCCAGGTACGAACATCTTTGTTTACGCGTGGCCAAACGAAACGTTCGGTGACCAGTTTCAAAGATGCACGGATACCGGGATGTGACAGTGAGTGCAGTGCGTCGAAGACTGTGCGTCTGAAGGAGACGGGCACGAGAGGTCTAGGACAACCTGTGGAAGTGTCACAAAGGATGTTTCCTTCCGTGGTTTGGAGAGGAATCGGTTGCACATGCAGCGAGGTGGACTGCAGAGTGCGCTGTAGATCTTCGTCTTGAGCCTGAGCCGATGCCATTGCGGCAAGGTCGACGGTAGGCAAAGACTGCAGAGTGAGGTTGACGCGTGAGAGAGCGTCGGCGACGGGATTGTCGACACCTGAGACATGACGTATGTCAGCAGTGAACTGCGTGACAAAGTCTAGGTGTCTTGTTTCCCGTGGTGAGTATTTGTCGCTAGCAGAGTTGAAGGCAAAGATAAGGGGCTTGTGGTCAGTGTAGACCGTGAAAGCGCGGCCTTCAAGTGTGTGCCGGAAGTGACGTATTGCTAGATAAATGGCGAGCAGTTCTCTGCCAAACGTGCTGTAGCGGGATTCCGCTGGCTGCAGGCGCTTGGAGAAGAACCCAAGGGGTTGCCATTGCCCACCAACGTGTTGTTGGAGGACGGCTCCTACCGCGACGTCTGAGGCATCAGTCGTAATAGAAAGAGGTGCAGTCGATTCCGAATGAGCGAGGAGGGCTATGTTGGAGATAGCATTCTTTAGCTCGGCGAAGGCTGCCTGTGCTGTGTCAGGGAAAGCGAACTTACGTTCATTTCCTCTGAGTAGGTCAGTCAGTGGCTGCATAAGCTGAGCGCAGCGCGGAATGAAGCGTCGATAGTAGTTGACCAAACCACAAAATCGACGGAGGTGCTTGAAGGAAGTCGGAGCTGGGAAGTCCTTGATTGCCCGGATCTTATCAGGAAGGACTTCGATACCAGACGATGAAACGAGGTGGCCTAGGAATTCTACCGTTGATTTGCCGAGTTCGCACTTAGTCGGGTTGACTGTGACACCGTGTTGGGTCAAGCGCTGAAACAGAGTTCGAAGGTGCTCGATGTGCTCTTGTTCCGATGAACTGGCTACTAAGATATCATCGAGGTAGGAATATGCAAAGTCTAGGCCACGAGTGACATCGTGGATGAAGCGTTGGAAGGTTTGTGCGGCGTTGCACAGTCCAAATGGCATTCTTAAAAATTCAAACAAACCGAAAGGAGTGATGACGGCTGTTTTAGGAATGTCATTGGCTTCCACAGGTATCTGGTGATAGGCGCGAACCAGATCGATCTTGCTGAAGATCGTCTTACCTGTGAGGCATGCGGTAAGGTCCTGCATGTGTGGGATGGGATACCTATCTGGGACGGTTAGGCGATTGAGTGCGCGGTAATCACCGCAAGGACGCCAGTCACCAGATTTCTTGGGGACCATCTGTAGGGGTGAGGACCAAGGGCTGTCGGAAGGGCGGATTATTCCAAGTTCAAGCATGTGCTCAAACTCCGCCCTAGCTACCTTTAGTTTCTCAGGCGATAGTCGGCGTGGACGGCATGACACAGGTGGGCCGTTCGTCCGTATATGGTGCGTGACTTGAGCTGCCACGGGCAAAGCTGCGTTCATTGGCTGAACGAGCTTGGGATACTGAGAAAAGAGATTAGCGTAGTCTGGCGAGGTCTGGGGAAATGCATAGACTGGGGATATAGATGTCACATCGGCGGTGATGCCACGTACGCTGAGTTTTGTTGCAGTGTCGACTATCATCTGGCGTTTCGCATCGACCAAGAGGTCGAAATGCCTGAGAAAGTCAATGCCGATGATGGCAAAGGGGACTGCAGCGACAGTGAATACCCAGCGGAACGTGCGCCGAAGACCTAGGTCCAGGGTAAGTGACCGATGACCATAGGTGGCTATTGGCGTGCCATTGGCGGCACTGAGACTTGTCGACAGAGAAGCGGTAGGCTCACCTGGCATAGGGGGAATGACGCTGACTTCCGCCCCGGTATCAACTAAGAACTGGGTATCGGAGTCATAATCCCTAATGTAGATGAGACGACTTTGAGCTTTGCCGACGTTCGTAGCCATTACAGCCCGGCGTGGCGAATCATCTATAGCGGAGTAGCTACATGGCTGTACGCACTTACGTGCTTTAGTACCGAAACGCGAGTGGTAAAAGCAGTAACCTGAGGCATCAGGTTTTGTGCGACGGTGCGATGATCCAGAGCGGTTGCAATGCTTACGTTTTAAGGTGAGTTCTTTGACCTGGCGCTGAAGCGACGCTATCTGCAATGATAATGCGTCTATTGCCGACGGAGGGCTAGTCGCGCCTGTCGTTGTGGTTGCGCCAGCGCAAAGCTGCTTAGGTGCTTTGGTTTCAGTCTCTGGCTGGTGCCGTTCAATGACGCGGTCTGCTAGATCTGCAATTGCTGTGATGGGCAAGTCACTTGCTACTGCAAGGATAGCCTGTGTGCTTTCAGGAAGGCGTTGCATCCACAGCTCGCGGAGAATCCCTACGTCCATGTTGGACGTGCCGATGAGCTGTTGCATTTCGCGCAACAAGGCTGAGGGCATCCTACCTTCTAGCTGCAGATCACTAAATAGCTGCTGCAGACGGACCTTGTCAGAAGGCGTGATTCGCTGAATAATAGCCTGTTTAAGTGTCTCGTATTTCATTACTAGAGGGGGGCAAAGTATGATGTCTCTCACCTGCGAGGATATACTATAAGGAAGGCAAGATATTAACTGATTATACATGGCGAAGTCAGAAGAAAGCTTACGAATATAAAATACGGATTCTAAATGTAAAAACCATAATAAAGGATCATTCTCCCAAAAAGGAGGGGCCAATGCAACCGAATTGACCATGGCAGGCTGAACGGCGTTAACCGCGCATGGAGACGGCTTATCCTCTAGATTATCCATTGCAAAAAGCAGATAAAAAATGTGGTAGGTGAGAAAACAATATGATCACAAGTAATGAATCACAAAATCACTGGAACGAGCTCACCAGAATGAAAATGCAAAATGGCGGGCGGCGTGTTCCTGACAGGGGGTCACCAATTGTTGGGCGGAACCTGGGATACTAGTCGGTAAGCAATGACACGTAAGACGTGTCAAATACGACAGTATAGAAGTCGGAGGCAACTGAACCCAACGTATATTGTGCAGGCTACAAGAATAGGAAGCGAATCAGACAGAGCGAGAAACGTGCAGCGAGGAACTCACCAAAACGGTTTGTGTCAACGGATGTGCAGTCAGTTAAACAAATGGACGTTTCGAAGGTTAAAACAACCATAAAATCCAATGTTACAAGATACTGAAAGAGCATGTTTTCTGTTGCACTACACTTTGTTGTTTAACATCCAGCTTACATATCCGGTGAAAGTTATCGGGTTTACAAAAAGAGCATTATATCGTCAGAATATGTTTATCCCACAAATCTGGACTATGTCGATACAGAGACTCACGCGCGCATTGATTCATAGTTAAAGTGTACGTTGGATTTTCTCCGCTATTCAAAAGAGGTTGCTCCAGGCCACACTAATAAGCAAATATCAAGCTCATCCAACAATGAGTCTACTTGCGTTCTCTTAGTTTGCAGCCGTCTGTTCACTGTTGTTCATCTAAATACAATCACTCAAAAATCTCAGCTTGTGAAGTGCAAAGAAACCGTTATTAATCAAAGAGAAACGCATTGTCGTTTCATCTTTGTCTGTTAGGGTGCGTCGATTTACTAATCCGACCAACAGGGCAATTCCAAGGAAAAATACACTACAAAGAACGCGGGTGTGTTTGTGGACGATTGCATCACTTTGTCTTTAGTCATGAAGAGAACCAGAGAATATCTCATGTCATGGACCTAAAGAAACTACAACGCAATCGAAAGTTCAGCTAGTCAAAGATGAACATCTGCCCATTGCCACTTCCGCGCTGGCTTTATGCCCTCCTCCATCGTGCACATGGTTTGTGCCTTGTAGAACAGCGCTGAGGTCATCCCAGCGTAAACCGGTTTCGGATGACTCGAAGTGTAGTGGAGAACGCAGTCAGTATCACTTGGCTTGCGATATATTGTCGTCTTTAAATTTCCCGCGTTCCTGTGAACCAAGAAGTCGAGAAATGATCTTGTACCGCTACAAGATTCCAGCTCAATTGTAAACGGTATTGTCTCATCAATGGGGCTTAAGTAATCAAACAACTCGTCTTTCTTATCCCGTTTGCCCAGTACAAATTTGTCGTCTTCATAGCGCCATCAAACGGCTGATGAGTTAAAGGAGGTTGTTAGCGCCTTGTTCTTGAAGTCTTCCATGTGCAAGTTCGCCAGTACAAGGGATATGGGCAATCCCGTGGCAAGACCTTGCTCTTAACTGTACAGCTTGGACTGAAGAACGAAGGAAGACATGTTAAGACACACTGTCTTCCCGCTCGATTATCTGTTTAACCGAAGGTTTTTTTCCATCACCCATAGTGAGGTCTTTATTTAGACAACTTCGTGCTATTCTTGGCGCTTCTGCTTTGGGTACATTGGTGAAAAGTGATGTTGCATTGAAACTAGGAACGCGCTTTCATCTTGCTGTTTTGCATTAAATTACAAGAGTTTTGGCCTCGAATGTCCTGCTTTTCGTCGAGGGCGTTCTTATGTGTGG